CCATGAGGCAAAGGTTGGCGCTTTCATTCTCTTCGCCTTCCGATGACTCGTCGCCGGAATCACCTCCCCATGAAATGTAAGCTCGGTGCTTCTTGAACGGTTTCTTCTCCTTCTCGTTTTTGGCATTTGGGCATTTTGGCTTGATGTGCCCAACTTCTCCACACCCATAGCACTTGGGTGGTCCTCCATGCTTTTTGCCCTTTCGTTCATACTCTTTTCGCATGAACTTGTGGAACTTTTTGATGACGAGCCCGAACTCGTTGTCCTCATCGCTTGATTCCTCCATGGCGGGTTCTTGACTTGAGGTAGCCTTTAGTGCAATCCCCTTCTTCTTTTGTTCACCTAAAGAAGGGAATAGGATGGTGGACTCATATGTTTTGAGGTTACCTCTAAGCCCGTCAATGGTGATGTTGGTGATGCCGATGGACTCTTGGATGGCATCGGCTTTGGAGTGCCATTCCAGTGTGAGACTTCGCAGGATTTTTCTCACAAGCTCCTTGTCCGTGTACGTCTTCTTGAGAGCATGAAGATCATTGACGATTTTGGAGAATCGTTTAAACATCTCATCGATTTTCTCGTTTTCCTTCATACGAAACAATTCATATTCATGGGTTAGAAAATCAATTTTAGCTTCTCGGACTTGATCCGTACCTTCGTAGGTGATTTCTAGTTTGTCCCACATTTCCTTCGCGGTGGTGCAACAAGAAATCTTCCGGTAGTCATCCGGGTTAAAGGCACAATAGATGATGTTGATGGCCTTGGCATTGTTTTCCACTTTCTTGATGTCTTGTGCATTATATTCATTCTTGGTCTTAGGGATGTTGGTTTCCCCGACCTTCTTCATTGGCACGTCTTCACCATTTTTGATAATTCTCCAAAGGAGAAAGTTGGTGGATTGGATGTAAATCCTCATCCGCTCCTTCCAATAGGTGTAGTTTGTTCTGTAAAACAGCGGAGGCCTCGTGGTGGATTGTCCTTCACATAAACCTGCGTATGAACTTTGAGTAGAAGCCATTGATCGTTTCTCTCAAACGGTTAAGTCTTTTAGAGAGTATGGCTCTGATACCAATTGTTAGAATAAAGGCCCAACGCTAGAGGGGGAGTGAATATCGTTTAAAACAAAATCGCAGGAAAATAAAACAAGAGCGTTAAAGTAAAGAGCGTAAGGAAGGAGCACACCGAATTTTATCCTGGTTCACCACAACGTGTGGCTAATCCAGCCTCCCGAGAGACTCTCTCGAGCTACACTAACTCCGTTAAGCTTAAGGGTGCTTAACAAACCGATACAACTTGAGAACCCGAGTCACACGAGCCTCAACGCCTTTGCTCGGAGATACCGCACTCCAAGACTTCTCACGAAGGAACAAGGAACTTTCTTCGAGTTTACAACAAGGGAACAACCTCCCTTAAAGTGTATGAAAACACTTAAACACTCAGGAATAAAACTCTCACAAAGAGTAGATATGAGTGAACTAGTAAACGCTCAAGAACACGATAATTTCTTCAAGAATTGGCTCTCTAATAGCTAGAAAAAGATAGGAATGCTTATGCAATGAAAGAGTATTGAAATGTTGAAGAATTGTGTGTAAAATGAGAGGATTTGGGTGCCATTTTATAGCCCAAAATGGGATAAATCCGTTGCTAGATTTTCCAACAGGATGAAGACAAATTTTTTAGAGTTGCAGGGTGATAGTCGATTGTCTAGACATGATAATCGATTATTAAAAGATTCCATGTCCAAAAGTTTAAAAATCTATCCGTTGGAGGACAACGGTAACCCAGATAATCGATTGTCAACAAGTGATATTCGATTATTGGTCCTCTTAGAAGTTTCTGGGGTTTGGCTGCACAGACTGATAATCGATTATTGCAAATTGTGATAATAGACTATTGCCTGCTTCAGAACTTGGGAGTTCAAAGCTGCAGAGGCAGATAATCGATTTTTACCAAAGTGATAATCGATTATCACCTAGCTAAAGTCTAGCCAGCTGAAACCCGTTTTGAAAAACCGAGGTCCAAAAACGAAGTGTTCCCAAAAGTAAAAACCAGGTTTGAAAAACATTGTATATGGTATAAAATAGTGAAAACAAGACTTGTTCGGTAAAAACCAAGTCTCCAAGGTCGTACATCACGTGCGTTCGGTTTTGACCGTTTTTCACGTGTTAGACCAATTGACCAAGATACAAAAGTGGTTTTTATAAAATAATTATTTGGGAACATTTTAAATATGCTTAGATATAAAAACGAGGTTTAAAACATTGAAAACCACTGAGTTGGTTCGGGCGCCAAAAACCGAACGCCGAACCCCGAATGCCGTACGCCGATGCCGAACACTGACCTAGGTGGTTTTGGTTCTGAGCAAGGACCAGGGATTTAAACACAATAAAAAGTTATTAAAAATGTTTATTTTAATGCACAAAAACATTTTATGAAATTGTAAAATAATTTTGCCTCTTTGAGAACCGAGACTTGAATTGATTGTCGGTTTTGATCACAAAACTCGACTACGTCTTCAATTCTTGATCTTGTCCTTGAGTCATTAGGTCTTGTTCCATGCCATTCTTCACGCCTTGAGTTATTCAACGAAGCTCTTCATATCCACGGCGGTTTTAGTTTAACTTCACAAAAAGTGTGTTCCAAACATCTTCCTCAAGCATACACAAACCAACAGCTTATCACGTCTTCTCATCATTTACGATCCATCTCAAAACTTACCCATCCGCCTCCCTTCCCGATCTCTCCGTGTGGCTCTGTGTGCGACCCTCTACCGCCGGAGTCTCCACCACCTCCGGCGACTCCTTTCTCCCTCCGCTAGCTTCTCCCCATCCTCCCCAGCTGTCTGCCGTCTGTCTCCCTCCTCCCAGCCGTCCGCTGTCTGATGCCCGTCTTCCTCCTCCCTAGTCGTTCGTCTCCCTCCGCCGGCTTCTCCTCATCCCTGCCGGCGACGCCTTCTCCTTCTCCTCATCCCCGCCGGCTTCTTCTCATCCCTGGCGTCCATCTCCTCCGATTCTCATCCCTGCAGCAATTAGTACTTTTTTTTCACTTTTTTTGTTTTCTTTAATATTTTTTTAACAATTTTTTTACATTTTTTGTTGTTAAAAATTTGTACAACAGTCAATGTTTTTTTTACATTTTTTTTACATTCTCATCCCTGCGGGCAACAATTTATAAGATATTTTTTTACATTTTCTTAATCTCTTTTTTTATACAATAGTCAACAATTTGTTGTTATTTATTGCTAAAGATTGTTGTCATAGTTCATGTTGTTGATTATTCTTGTTGATTATTGTTGTTGTAGTTCAGATTTGTTCAAAAAATATTGATTGCTCTAAAAATCTGTTTATTTTAAATTTCGGTTTATTTAAGCAATCTGTAAAATTTCAAAAATAAACAGTCTTCCTCTTGCAAATTGTAGACCTTTGGTCCACCTCTTCTCCTGCAGATGTGTGAAAATGTGGTCTGCAGACTGCAGACTTTTTTCTGCAGAAAAAACAAAGCACCTAAATATCTAACTCCTACCCCCAATTGAATACAGAGTACGAGGAAATTGCCTATGCATATAAAAAAACGCACCTACTGTACTTGGGGAAACACGCTGCACAAGCATCTTTCTTCTTCTTTCTCACACGCGACGGATCAAACCGACAGGAGAGATGCCAGAGTTCGCCGGAGGAATTCGCCGAAGTTTCCTCGCCGGAATTGTTCCCCAGTTCAAGGTGAGTGATTTATCTCTCGTTAGAATTAATTCTTAGATTAGTATACGTTAATATATTCTTGTTCAATTGATATTGAGTCGGTGATTATGGGTATTGGATTGTTTGATTTATTGTTGTGAATATGAAATCAAATTGGGGAAAATTGACAAAATTTGGGGGGTTGCGTGTCCTGACTTCAACCTTGAATTCTATTGCGCATAAATCGAAGTTTTGCTTCTTTGTGTTCCTCACTGCATCATTGTGCACTCTTGACCCACTATGGGGATTCCGTTGGGTGTTGGTTGCTAGTTTTGGACGGACGCTGCAGCTGACCTTGTTCGTGGATGTCCAACCGACTTGCTTCTCTGTTTCCGTTCTTGCTATTTTTCTTTCTTTCCCACTTTCGATAATCTCTTTCTTGATGTTGTCGTCTTCAGTAGAGCACCTAGACAGGAGGGGCGGGCTGCACATTTGCCAGGTTGCTTCGGGATGGACGCCGCTAGGTTCGAAGGTGGGTTGTTTGCTCGACAAAAGGAACTACTGTGACACGATGGAGTTTCATCCAATGATGTGATGCTCATTTAAACATTGTGAAATTTGCACTGAATAGGACTAAAACATAAGTCACTTCCCAATGTAGGACTTAAACTTTTTTATTCCATAAGTAGGACTTAATAATGTCTAGTGAGAAGAATAATGTCCAAGTGATGCTGGACATTTAGTTGAAAAATGACTAATAGATAATGACCAATGGCCCTACATTGGGAAATAAAAACATATGGTCATTATGTTTTAGTCCTATTTAGGTAAATTACCCCTAAACATTTGTTGGTTTTTAGTTCGTTATGCGATGATGGTTGGTTGCATGAAGGTAATCGTCCGAATGCCATTTCCCGGTCAACCAATGATTGGGTTTAATTGATAATCTTGTTTAAAAACTTAAAGGTATTATTGCATATTAAGCTTGGATTAAGAAAGTAGGTCACCTGGCACTACGTCAAAAACAGATGCTGACAACTGTTTCTTTTAGTAGTCTCCTGGTGCTGATTTCAGTAGTCTTCCGAGCAGCTGTCTGATATATTTACAGACTGTTGTTTAAAAACAATTGTGTAAAATGGTTGACGACACCTGTTTTGTAATGTTTTAGAGTACCACTTTTTAGTGTTGTCCCCGTATGAGTAAGACATCTGTTTTTTAGAGTTAAAGAGAACTGTGATTTTTTGTTGTCTATCTATAATGAATACTACTGTTGTTTTTAACTTCAGACTCCTAATTCTTGGTGTTGTCGTTCAACAATATAGACATCTAATTTAATAAGTAATTGAAAGATATATCACACAGCTGCTCGGAAGACTACTAAACATAAATAAGATTAGACAACTGTTATCTTTTGTTGTATTTCTAGAATATGGACTACTAATTTTCTGTATTTTAAACAACCGTTTCTTTCAGTTGCATAGTGCTCAATAACACTGCGCTTTTTTATAGTTGTCCTTGAAATATTCAAACTATCATTTTAAACACTAGTTAGATTATAAATTAGACTACTGCGCCGAAGACAACTAAGTATGTTTGGATAAAACAACTGCTATTATGTGTTGTATTTTTAAAATGTAAACAACATTATTTGTTGTATTTCATACAACTGTTTGTTTAAATTGTCTAACGTTTATTAACAATATAGGTTTGTGTAGTCGACCTTTAAAGATTTAGAAAACTATTTAAATATATTGTAAAGCTTTTTGAAAGACTACTATTTTTAAATTTACAATTATATTTAATAATTAAAATTTATTTCAATTTGAAAATATTGATCATGAAACAAAAATAAATTCCAAAATGTACAATATATTGAATAATATCTAAATACATACAACGGAAAATCTTAATAACATCCAATAATTTAATATTTACATAATTAAAATCACATTCTAATTGTCCATTGAGCATGCCTAATTTAGTTATTTGTCCCCTCAATAATATACAGCATTGAATGAGGGGTATACAGAGCTTCAATTCTTGACGCCGTTGTGACCATGATAATCTGCAAGCAAAACATATACAGACCTATAGTGAGTTAAATCATTTGAAAAGAGACATTGCAGACATTGAAAGGCATTGAAATTGACTTGCAGAAGCAATTAGAGTACATTGCAGACATTTGATTACTACCTCTTTTGATTTAATGCAATTAAAAGTCTATGCCCCTTCGGCATAAAAAGGTAACACACTATAGAAAAATCTCATTTTGATGAAATTGACTTGCACAAGCAATTAGAGTAAATGTGTGTAATCAAATGTTCCTAGTCCATGCTAAGCGATACAACAACAACAACAACGCAGGTGAATCCCACAACAGTAGGGTCTGGGGAGGGTGTGTGTACGCAGACCTTGCCCCTACTCGGAAGTAGGGAGGCTGTTTCCAAGATACCCCCGGCTCCACCTGCACAAAAATATGGAAGGGAACACAGTATAACACAGATAAAACACCAAGTACAAGCAACAAGTACAAGCAATAGTAGAAGATTCCAAACGAATACAACACACTACAAAACAACCTCTACAACACCAAGCTCCTATCCAGCTACTCTAATTCTAGTTTTCCAAAGGTTCCTATTTAGGGCCATATCCTCAGTCAGGTCGAGAAGGAGAGACTTATGTATTATATATGTGAATCAAATGCATAAGGAGAGACTCACATTTGAGTTGCTATCAACTTTGATATCTGTGGTAATCTTCTTGCTCTTAAGCTTAATATTAATATCAGCCACAAATCAATCTCCTTTCTTTGACCGTGATGAGGTTATGGCCTATGAAATTTACAATAGAAGATTAACCTATGAGTATGCTAAAACACACACATGACCTTAAAATCTCAAAATGCACACATTTCCTTGTAATATGTATGCGGCATTAAGAAAAGCCTAATGAGAAAAGCTTTTGTTTGCCTAAAAACAACCATGATAACAATTATGTTGATTTCATCATTATGTGAAAACAAAGCCAAACTTAACCTAAAACCCACACTCCTTATTATTCACATTTGTGCAAAAGTCGAGCATGTACGTTAGCCACAACAACCTCAGCTTCACCAGTGTCTGATCCTCAGCTACACTATTGTAATTGCCGTAGTCATAATTCTAGATCAACCTCTAAAAATAAGAAGAATGAATGCTCTAACCTTGTTAATTCCAGACTTCAACGCTCACTGTGAACAGTGCGCCGGATTCAGAAACATTGCTCAAATCGTATGGAATTGCAATCCAACTTTAGACCTTGAACAACAACCCAGGTCGCTCATAAACCCCCAGAAATTGGCCTTTGATTGATCATAAATCAAAGTGAAAACCGATGTCCATGGTCACCGAATGAACAAGGACCACGAAAGGGTTACCTTCAGTTCGCTTAAGTCTAGCTCCAAAATAGGAAAATTGAGTTTAAAGTCAACAGCATTTGCTTGAGACAAGCTCAAATCTCAAAAATTCACAAGAAAATAGCAACGAAATAAAAAATAGAAGAAAAAGGGGTGAATCGGAAAAAGGTGTTCAACAACTGTTGCGTTCTTCTGCTCGAGTCCATCGCCGGAACAGTGGAGGTCATTCCCTGTCACCGCCGGTCGCTACTTGTGTCAGCGTATATGCCAAATCTCCAGAATTTCGCCACTGTGGGTCTGCATCACTGCGTTCGCTGAGGGTCTCCGGGGATTGCTATTGCTGCTGCTATCATCGCCGATTGGGGAGAATTGGAGAAGAAGGTCGTCGTATGGATCGGAGAAGAGAGGGGTGGCGGAATTCTTTGATCGAGGAGGAGAAGGAAAAAGAGGCTAAAAATCCTTTTATATACCCTAGGGTTTTGTACTTGAAATTTAAAATAACGTGTCTGAGTGAAACACACTTTTCGGGCTAACTTGTTCCGAATTAAGATCCGTTTGCATCGTTGGATTCGATTCGTCGATCCCTACCCAACAATATAATTTTTATATTCAATAAATGAACATTTATAAGTTCCACCTGGTCCGCAAAATCATTTTATATACCCTAGGGTTTTGTACCTCGAAATTTAAAATAACGTGTCTGAGTGAAACACACTATTCACACCATTGGATTCGATTCGTCGATCCCTATCCAACGATATAACTTTTATTATCATTCGACAAGTATTTACCGGTTCCTCCTTGTCCGTATTAATTCTTTCGTTTAATTAGTACCGATCATTCCTTTAATTTAAACCTTTACAAATAGAGTCAAATTAGTCTCGTAATATTGAGACGATTAGAATGCTCTAAAATATCTTTTAATTCTTTAAGGAATAGATTATCATAAAAAAACTAGATCAGTCGAGATTAGATCTAATTAGAAAGAGTTTTTAAACATAACTAGAATTAGATCTAGCAGATTAGATTTAATCATATAAGATGCTTTAAGATCAAATCAAATTCAATCAGATCTTATTGCTTGCATATTTAATGTGAGCTACTACGTCTCAATTTAACATGTTTATATGTTGTTTAGATGATATCTAATGAAATCAGATCTCATCATATCAAATTATACTAGATTAAATTAAAAGAGTTTTAAATATAACCAATTAGACTAATTAGATCAAATCCGACAAAAAAAATCTAATCGGAATAAATCAAAGTCAAATCCAATAAGATCAGATCAAATCTTCAAAAATATCGAATCAAATCAAATTCAAATCTAGTAATATCAGATCAAATATTTAAAAAAATCATATCGGATCTAATTAGATTGAATCAGAACAAAATAGATATAGTGAGATCAAATCGAGTTCAAATCTATTAAGATCAGATTAAATCTTTAAAAAACAACTTAATTATATAGGTCGTGTCCTTTTTGCCTGATCTAATCTATAAATACATCAGATCAGATCAAATTAGATCAAATTACAGATCAAATCAAATCAAATTCAAATCTAGTAAGATCATATCAAATATTTAAAAAAATCATATCGGATCTAATTAGATTCAATCAGGCCAAAATAGATCTAATCAGATCAAATCAAGTTCAAATCTATTAAGATCAGATCAAATCTTAAAAAAACAACTTAATTATATAGGTCGTGTCATATTTGCCTGATCTAATCCTTAAATGCATCATATCGGATCTAATTAGATTGAGTCAGATCAAAATAGATCAGATCAAATCAAATCAAATTCAAATCTATTAAGATCAGATCAAATCTTCAAAAAAAAGTTAATTATATAAGTCGTGTCCTGTTTGCCTGATCTAATCTATAAATGCATCAGATCAGATCAAATTAGATCGAATTAGACAAAAACAGATCAAATCAAATTCAAAAATCAATTTACTTGTCAAGGTTGTTTCTTATTTGCCAGATATAATCTTTAAATGCATGAGATATGAATTTAGTTAATATTATTAAAGTTTACCTCCAAATCTCTACAATTTTAATTTCCCTCTATCTAAATTCATTTTCCCTCCCCTAAATTTCATCTTCTCTCTTCCTAAATTCATTTTCCCTCCCCTAAATTTCATTCTCCCTCTTCCTAATTTCTCTTTTCCCTCCTCTAAAAAACCTATCTCTTCTCGATTAAGGTCAGAAGAAAAAAGTTCGCCACTTCGCTGTACCTTCATGCCTGGAGCCAGAGCCGTCGATCCTCGTCGCTCCTATCTTTTCATCGCCATCGAGATACCTCGACAACGGGCGGTGGTCTTCCGATCCCCATAGAGTACCACGATTTCAGTCCATCCCACTTATTGATGGCGCATACGTCCGCCTCGAACACCGTGTGAAGCCAACATCACAACCCGAATCTCTACTACCTCTAATTTATAGGTTTTACTTTATCTTGAAAATACTCTAATGGTTAAATTATGTGAATTTCTTTGCATATCTCTTGAAAATACTCTAAATTCTTCAATTATATGAATGAAAATATTCGAATTCTTCAATTATGAGGATTTATTTGCTTCATTTTTGTTACCTCAATCTTTCTATGAACTTGTTTTTGTGAGGGATAAATGGAAGTTATTAAATGGAAGTTTTTTGTTGTAAAAAACGGTGGGCATAGTCAATTACCAAGACATTTACATGGCTTAGCTTGGGTTGGTTTACTTTAGCTAGTCTAAATTGGGTTGTCCATTTCCGATTACCCATACTCCACTGATTTGAGCTCGTTCAATCAGGTTTATGGATATTTGGATTCTCCTTCAGCAGGTGAATCCATACCAGACTTCATCTTGCAGAATTTTGAAGAATTTTGAATACCTTTTGTCTAAGTTTTGTGTGGTTCTTAATCGTGCTTTGAAGGCCTTCTTGTTGTTTTTGTGGATGTTTGTGATGATACGTTTTCCATGTCCATTTTGTGCCTCTAGTGTAGTGTTTTACAGTGTAGCATTGCAGTCCAGTTTTCAGTTTTGTATGCTTTAACTGTTGAAAGCACAATTTCTATTAATAAATCTTTTTTGGGAACTATGTTTATGCTCATAGTTCATATTAACTTTTTTCTTGCTTCACGGATTACAAATTGCAATTTATGGCTATGGTTTTGGGATATGTACCTGGCCTGTACTTTTGATGATCTGCCGTTGGAGTTGCTTGCACTTTATGAAGCTCTTCAAGCACTAGTTTTAAAGCAACTAAGAGAATCTTACTATCACAAAGACACCATCATGAGGTATGCGGTTAGTTGCATTTATGTGGTCTTTGATATGTGTACCTGGCCTGTACTTTTGATATAGTTGCAAATCACAAACCAAAACATAAGCTGGCATGGTCTGTAGTTGCACCAAAACAACTGTGATTTGCTTTGATGTAGTTGCATATATGTGGTCTTTGACAGACCAGGTACATATATCAACTCCAACTTTTGTTCTGAACCACTAATATGTTACCATATGTTTTGGTTATAGTTCTTTATTTTGGCTAAGACTTTTTCTTTGAAGAATGTATATAAGAGGCATCGACCTAATTTCTTTCAGTTACAGCACCTCAAACACGAGGAGTTTATTGTCTCGAACTTGGATTGTGATTTTCTTTGATGTCAAGAGAGGGGAAAATGGACTCTCGAGCCTTACACGCTCTTTGGAGGAGGTATAAATTGGCTAATAATGGGGCGTTAACCACAACAACTAGTGGCCAAACCCCCAAAAGAGCTAGGAGAAGACGGTTAAGGGTGGTCAAACTAGACCTACTGCCATGCCACTAGCAACGGGTAATAAACAAAAGAAGAAAAAGAAGGCTTTGAAAGGTGATGAATCTGTTGTGGATGGTTATGGTGATGCTGCCATGCCAAAGCCAGGAGGCCAATCAACCAGTAGTGCAAGGACTAAGAGGGGTGATGATGTTGTTCTCTCTTCCACAAAGGCAATGGGTCAAGCTTAACTCATTAGGGAGAGTAAAACCATGGCTAAAAACCAAGCTCTGTGTAATTGGCACTCTTATCTTGAAGATTTGGTCTTTACTCTTTAATTTGAGTAATTTTAGAATATGGAGTTTCATTCTTTGTATTTTGTTTATTTTCTACTTTGGATTGAAGAAAGTCAATGTACTCTTAATTTTGTTTTTAATAAATTTTGTGTACTCTTATTTGCATCTCGCCATCTTCTCATTTTTTTTGGTTTTATGATGTGAGATTAATTGATTATATGGGTTCCCAATACTCTTTGTGTGTAGCGGGACAGTTTCCAGCCTGTCCACGTACTTTTTCTTTTGTTTCAATAGAAGTGTTTATTTTTTCATGTCCATATAATTGTTTGGCACAACGGTTATTTGATTGTTGTATAAATTTGGCCCGAAAGTATGATTGTAAAGTTAGAGAGCGTAAACATTTCCATGGTAAAAAAGATTACCGTTTCTCCGAACTTTTAAAATAGTTTTAGGCTTAAGAGCTAGACTACTATTTAAAACGAGTATTCTTAACTTTTAAAATAGTTCTAGGCTTAATATGCACAATTCTCTTAAAAACAGTTTTTTTACTTATTATAGATAACTATGAAAAAACAGTGTGAGACACACTACTTGTAATACATTACTATTTCTTATAAGTTTAAAAAACAGTTATACACTAGGAAACTAGACTTCTGTTAGGAAATAGTTAGTCTGAACTAATTATTGACAACTGTGGCAATAAAAACTGTATTTTTTTACGAAACCGACTACTAATAATAGATGACCGTTTCTCACAACTTTAAAAACAGTTCTACCCATAATTCATAGACTATTGTTAGAAAAGAGTATTCTATTCCTATTATAAACTGTTAGACGCCTTTCACGCCTCTAGAGGGGGGTGAATAGAGGTGTTCACGAAAATAATAAAATTTTTCGTTTAAAGAAGAAAAAGCGCAGGAATAAAATAGAAGATTAACGGAAACAATGAAAGCGAGGAGACAACGATATATCCTGGTTCGGCCTAATGCCTACGTCCAGTCCCCAAGGTAAACGCGCCCGAGATTCCACTAATCCTTGTTAAACTTAACGGAGTTTAACAATCCGAATACAACTCGAGAACTTGATTTCACAAGCCCCTAACCTTTCCACCGAAGTCTTGATTTCACAAGACTTTGGATTTCAATCCAAAACTTGAATTATTTTAAATTCAAGTTTTTTTTACAATTTAAAAACTTACAAACCAAAGTGCACAGCGGAATTGACTCTTCGAACAAGAGCGGATATTGTGTAGATTACAACGAAACCTATAGTGTATGGCACAAATGACTTTCCAAACTTCAATATGAAGGATTGCTCAAAAAATGCTTGAATTAATTGAGTAAGAGGATTTGATTCAATAAAACTCTTTGAAATTCTCAAAGGATAGCAATTGTCAATGTTCTTGGATGTTCTTGTATATTGAAAAATGAAATTAGATTGAGTATATATGGATAGGGCTGAAGAAACCTCCACGGGAATTTAAAAACTGACCGTTAGTTGTGAAAACTGTCGATTTATTCGAATAAAACACAATTTATTCGAATAGTTTGGATAAAATATGATTTTTGAAAACACAGGGCTTATTCGAATAATTACTGGATTTATTTGAATAAAACAGAACGAACTGCAAAACTGGGAGCCTACTTATTCGAATAAATAGCCATTTATTCGAATAGTTTTCAAAACTTTGGAAAAACTAGAATCAGCCCTTATTCAAATAAAATAAGCATTTGTTCGATTAAAACAGACTAAACTGCAATTTGCAGGAGTCTTTATTATTCGAATAAATCTTGATTTATTCGAATAAAAACCTGGGGAGAAACATTTTTGAAGAAAGGTTTTGAGAAAGGGTTTTGAAAACAATCAAAGAGAAATTCTTGTAGGAAAAACAAAGTATTTGAAGAATAAAGATGTGCCAAACACTTTAACATGAACTAAGACTCAAAAGAAATAAAAATTTAGAAAACCTTTAATCTTCAAATCTTGTCTTGAATCTCTAAGCAACGTGCTAGGCAATCCACATGAAAAGATCCAAATCCAAAGCTCATCCCATATGCATGGTTGTTATTATCAATACATAAGGGCCAACAATTTCCCCCTTTTTGATAATGACAAACCCAAATTAACAACAAGTGCTTGGACTCAAATCACAAGGTTTCCTGTCTCTCAACAAATTAAACACACACACAAGATACAAGCAAACATGCAACTAATCAATCATTAGAAAAAGTTCAAGAAAGCAACTTCCCCCTGTTTGTGTGCACTTGACCAAGCATAAGCAATACCCACACTTCCCCCTTTTGTCATAAGCAAAAAAGGGAAGGTAAAATCACAGAAAATGTCAAAGTCATAATAAAAAACACAAGGGGTTATGCAAAAGATAGAGTCAATAAGTAAGGCATAAGTTAACATAGTTAATGCTAGAAAATTAGTTCCCAATCCACTCATTCCTCATCCATGGTCGCATTGTCTTGTTCAACAGCATCCTTCTCGTCATCATCCTCATCGTCTGCATCACCATCAACATCAGAAGGAGCGGCATGAGAAGAAGAACCCTGAGGCATGTAAGGTGCGAGTGCTTCCAAGGATGGTGTTTCCCATTGCTCTCCACTCTTGACCAACATCCTGTTCAAGTTATAACCGTAAGTGGCCTGTTGGAGCTGGATGTTGTTGAAGGAGGATTGGAGGCGTTGCAGGGACTCAAAAAGCATAGGCAATGTGACCTTGTTACCCCGGGAAGCCACACGTGACTAAGAAGTTCCGGTTTCTTCACGTTCTTCATCTTCACCATCAAGCTTGGTTCTCATTACTGTGGACCTCTTGATCTTCCAAAAAGGAGTTTCACTCTCCATCTCGGCATCCACAAATTCAAATCCCTTCCTTTTCAAAAGATAGGTGAGAAGCATGAGGTACGGTTGAGAGTTTTTCTTTGCCCGGCACAAGTTCATGTATGTCAAGATGTACTTCCCCTAATTGATAGACACCGGCTTCAAGATTGCATAGATAAGCATGGCATCGTCTTTGCTCATTTGAGGGTGATTGCCCGAGCGCCCATGCAGGATATAAGAGGAAATATATTGAATGAGGCGTTGAGGAGGTTGCATTCCATTCACCTTGGGCCGTCCAGATTCATTGAATTTGGGTCGAAAGTTCATCACTTCCCAACACTTTTGTTCATCAAAATTATACCAAGGGTTTTGATCATTATTTTGGGTAGTGAGCTCCTTGTTACTATTCTCCATGCCAAACATCTCATTCAATTCACCACTAGAAATAGTAACCTCTTTACCACAAAACTTAGAAATAATCACAAATTGATGATTTCTACGCTTGAAAGTCATATCGGAGTAGAAAGCTTTAATATGATTAACCGGGATATGAGATTCATGAATTGTCACAACATTTATCAACCCCGAAGAACGAAGCTTAGACAAAACCTGTTCATAAGAATTATCTCGCTCAAAATCAACAAGATCAACAAATCGAGGGGTTATGATTTTGCGAGGAAGAACACTATCATGAAAGAAATCAAAAGCTTCCTTCTTTTGAAAGAAAATTCGAGGATTAATAGCGAATTCAAACCTTGAAATTTCGGGTGTAGATTGCGGCTGAGACGAGGAACCCGGAAGAGATGATGAAGCAGGTGGCCGAATGGTCTTCCTCTTCGTCCTTGACGCCATGGAATTGTTGGAGCAGAGCTTGGCGACGAGGATGAACTTGCGTCGATGAAGAAGAGGCTGCGACTAGGGTTCTAGTGAGTCGCCGAGTGAGAGAGAGAGGACTGGTGATTTTAGTTTGTGGAGCTTTGACCGAATAAATGACCTTTTAAAAATATCAGATCCAATCTCATTGAGTCGAATAGTTCTTGATTTATTCGAATAACGCATATTGAGCCGCGACACTGGAATCCAACTTATTCGAATAGGTACCAAATTATTCGAATAGATCAGCTTGAGGCGCAACACTGGAATCTGGAAGGAGCATATTTATTCGAATAGGTCTTCAAATATTCGAATAAACCACTATAGTTAAGCATTCCTTTGAAATTCTTCAAATAGCCAAGGTCAATAAAATTTCCCCCTTAATAAATGCTTCCTATGGAGTAAGAAAGAGGAGTGGATGGGTGAGAACCTGCAAAAAAAATTAAGGCCACTCCGATGCCTAAGTTAGTATAAAAATAAAATTTAAAAAAAACAAAAAAAAACATTAACTTAAGTAATGGCAATAATTCCTAAGGCATTTCTAATACGACAAAAATTCTCACGATCCAAAGGTTTAGTAAAAATGTCGGCCAACTGATTAGTTGTATCGACAAATTCAATGTCTACATCATCCTTTTGGACATGGTCTCTAATAAAGTGATGTTGTATATCAATATGCTTTGTACGAGAATGGTGAACGAGATTCTTCGTAATATTTATGGCACTCATATTATCACATCGCAAAGGAATATGATCAAGGACAAGGCCATAATCCAAAAGTTGTTGTTTCATCCAAAGAATCTGGGCGCAACAACTTCCCGCAGCGACATATTCTGCCTCGGCGGTGGACAAAGCAACACTAACTTGTTTCTTACTAAACCAAGAAACAAGTGAACATCCAAAAAGATGACAGGTTCCACTAGTACTTTTTCTATCCATTTTGCACCCAGCAAAGTCGGAATCAGAATACCCAATGAGAGTACATGTTGAACCTTTGGGATACCACAATCCCATAGTCAAGGTGCCTCTCACATACTTAAGGATACGTTTGACGGCAGTCAAATGTGATTCCTTAGGGTTTGCATGATATCTAGCACACATACAAAAACTAAACATAATATCAGGTCTACTAGCGGTTAAATATAATAATGAACCGATCATACCTCGATATCGTTTGACATCAACCGACTTACCACTTTCATCTTTATNAAGTGAACATTGAGAGCTCATTGGGGTAGCCATTTCTTTACAATCTTCCATCTCAAATTTCTTGAGAAGTTCTTTTGAGTACTTCGTTTGGCTAAGAAATGTCCCATGTTCAAGTTGTCGAATTTGAAGACCGAGGAAGAAATTTAATTCTCCCATCATTGACATTTCGAACTCTCCTTGCATAATCTTAGTAAATTCCTCACACATAAGATCATTAGTAGCACCAAAAATAATGTCATCAACATAGATTTGTACTAAAAGCATGTCAAGAGCATTATGCTTAATAAAAAGTGTGGTGTCTACCTTTCCTCTTTGAAAACAACTTGCTCTGATACCAATTGTTAGACGCCTTTCACACCTCTAGAGGGAGGGTGAATAGAGGTGTTCACGAAAATAATAAAATTTTTCGTTTAAAGAAGAAAAAGCGCACGAATAAAATAAAAGATTAACGGAAACAATGAAAGCGAGGAGACAACGATATATCCTGGTTCGGCCTAATGCCTACGTCCAGTCCCCAAGGCAAACGCGCCCGAGATTCCACTAATCCTTGTTAAACTTAACGGAGTTTAACAATCCGAATACAACTCGAGAACTTGATTTCACAAGCCTCTAACCTTTCCACCGAAGTCTTGATTTCACAAGACTTTGGATTTCAATCCAAAACTTGAATTATTTTAAATTCAAGTTTTTTTTTACAATTTAAAAACTTACAAACCAAAGTGCACAGCGGAATTGACTCTTCGAACAAGAGCGGATATTGTGTAGATTACAACGAAACCTATAGTGTATGGCACAAATGACTTTCCAAACTTCAATATGAAGGATTGCTCAAAAAATGCTTGAATTAATTGACTAAGAGGATTTGATTCAATAAAACTCTTTGAAATTCTCAAAGGATAGCAATTGTCAATGTTCTTGGATGTTCTTGTATATTGAAAAATGAAATTAGATTGAGTATATATGGATAGGGCTGAAGAAACCTCCACGGGAATTTAAAAACTGACCGTTAGTTGTGAAAACTGTCGATTTATTCGAATAAAACACAATTTATTCGAATAGTTTGGATAAAATATGATTTTTGAAAACACAGGGCTTATTCGAATAATTACTGGATTTATTTGAATAAAACAGAACGAACTGCAAAACTGGGAGCCTACTTATTCGAATAAATAGCCATTTATTCGAATAGTTTTCAAAACTTTGGAAAAACTAGAATCAACCCTTATTCAAATAAAATAAGCATTTGTTCGATTAAAACAGACTAAACTGCAATTTGCAGGAGTCTTTCTTATTCGAATAAATCTTGATTTATTCGAATAAAAACCTGGGGAGAAACATTTTTGAAGAAAGGTTTTGAGAAAGGGTTTTGAAAACAATCAAAGAGAAATTCTTGTAGGAAAAACAAAGTATTTGAAGAATAAAGATGTGCCAAACACTTTAACATGAACTAAGACTCAAAAGAAATAAAAATCTAGAAAACCTTTAATCTTCAAATCTTGTCTTGAATCTCTAAGCAACGTGCTAGGCAATCCACATGAAAAGATCCAAATCCAAAGCTCATCCCATATGCATGGTTTTCATTATCAAAACACAAGGGTCAACATAAACAACAGTGGCAAAAAAAACCTTTTGAAACAGACAACTAAAAATTGATAACTGTTTCTAATAAGTTTAAAAACAGTTCTAGAATAAAAACTCAGACTATTGTTTAAGTAGAGTATTCTTAACTTGTTATTGACAACTGTTGTAAGAAAAACTGTATTTTGAACTAAGACAGACAACTAATGATACATTACCGTTTCTCGAAACTTTAAAAATAGTTTTAAAGCATAGCAGCTAGACCACCGTTCTATTGCCAAGAAAAACTTACAGTAGTGTGTTTTTTTTCAACTACTGTGTTTGCATAAACAGTAGTTAATCAACAGTTGATTGATGTTGTTTTTGGCGTAGTGTGGTATATCTAGGAGTTTTTGAACTGAATTGAATGACTTTGAATATTTGAATCACCTATAAGATTGAGGATAAGAATTTAACGTCATGTAGGTGTCGGCGTACATCTAATGGTCTACAGGGTTAAAGCGTACGTACGGGAGTCCATTACCATCCTCGGCAACTCCGTGGTAGGGGCTCCAACCCGCCCAATTGGACACCTTCCATTGGGATTACAAGCTTAGCCTCTTGGCACCTCCAGGAGTGTCCATGACTAGTGTGTTTAATTAGACTTTTATCGAATATATTAAAAGTATGGTAACAACGCACAAGGATCTGAAACAACGGATGTACGAATGAACGAACGAACAATTGATAATGCTATTTGGTAATTGTAATTGCTGATTCTTATGATATTGTATGATTATATGTTAATGGATGCTGGTCTATGAGTTGGTTCTAGCGTTAGATACTTCCACTCTCCATATTTTTACAGGTAGGGGTCAAGGATTGGACGAGGAACAGCCTGGAGGACAGTGAGACGTGGCGCTGGTGGATGGCCCAAAGCTATTTGTTTTAATTGAAATGTTCCGTTGAACTTGTTTATTTAAAATATAAGAATGATTGAATGTTGTTTTATAGGCTTCCGCAATGTTTGGTTTTGTCACTCCGATTAAACTATGGTTTGCTTTAAATAAATATGAATTATTACTTTATTATTAAATGTTTTTAAAATATCATACATGTGAATACCAAATTAGTAACAACCCGATATGCTGACTTGTTTGTTCGGATTACGTGGGTTGGGGCTCTCTACTATCCGAATAATATTATTTTGATCAAATGTGCTTGTTTTCTTGATAAACAAATTATTTCAAAATAACGTAAAAATATAGAACTCAACAGTACAAGTTTTGTATTTTTCTAAAATTATTTGGTAACCGAAACTGGGGAAATTTGGCACATAATACTAAACAAACAGAGTGAAAAAAATTTCAGTTTCACTAAATGTAACCTCTCACCCATTCACTTAACATCATCAAAGGAACATTAATCATTTAGCTAATTATTTAATTAAAATAAAAATAATATCTTTTAATGAAAACTATCCACTTTCCCTTCTCTTCACCTATAAATAAGGTCCTAAGGTGGTTAGCTTAAGTTAGTTGTTTTGTGAGTGTTGGGAGGGCAACGTAGCGTGATAGCAAGGAGGTACTGCCAAAATTCTGTTTGACTACCGTTTCGTTAACAACATCGAAGCTGTGTCGTTGACCCTACCCTTTAGATATATATTCCATGTTTATATATTTTCTGTGCATTTTGCTTTACAATCTAAATTTATCAAATGTTATAAAATAACAATATGGCATTACGAATATATACATACATATATGTTTGTTGTGTAAACAGTAACAAACTATATAAGTACTACGTATATATATAACACTGTATACACCATTCCTAAATATGTGATGTAAAATCATTTTTTTGTAGTATAAGAACATGTAAAAATGTGGAAATAAACATTAGGGAACTAAGGAAAAAATTTATGTAAAAAAAAGATGTATAACACTAAGTTGTTTTTTTAAAGTTTTGACCGAAGTAGATAAGAAAAAAAATAATAGTAAAAGAAAATGAACAAGAACAGTAAGGATAATAGTAATAGAGGGATGAAGATGTTCTTTTTACTCTTACGGTTGGGTTAAAACAAATCAAGTTTGTCTAAACAAACCAATTAATACATTTAACTGTAAGGCCAAAGGATTAAATAGCAACGCCTGAACTTTTTTAATAAGCTGGTGTTTTCTTGGTAAATCAAAGTTTGGTATGTCTAAAAAAATAATAATATAGGTTTAAACAAGTTTAAACAAAAAACCTTGTGCTTTCTCTTTATCCCTTAAGAATGCTAGATGTTTTGATGTTTTTTTCCTTAAAGTCAAATGAAAGAACTTACACATTTTTATATAGTGAGTATAAATTGAGCAAAGTTTGTTTGTTGCCTGCAACGACTAAGGTTTGGTTTCCAAGGGGCATAAATTGTCAAATGAATTTTAAAAAATCTATGATTGAAGACATCAAAGGTAGTTTTTTCCTAAATGACCATACAAGAATTAACCAAGCAGTTAGCAGGCGAAATCAAAAAACATCAAAGTTCACGTTAATGATGGTACCCTAACCATGTATTGTCACGTTCTATTAAGTAGATCAAAAAATGTTATAAGGCCGGTTCGTATGTGTCCAAGTGGATGAGCCTACAAATATCATATCACAACGTGCGCACGAGAACCCGACGATGACCCCATGGATCTAGAGTCCACTTCTGTTTACTGGACCCGAGGTCTTAGGGAGGTATTCGAAGTAAAACTACATATTGACTAGTGCGGGGTTCCGACCTAGTCATTGCTTAGTCTCTAATCTGAGGTTAACCTAGGAAGGTCAAAAGTTTTCTAAATGTCCTCAAGTATCTATTATAAAGTGAGAATGTTTTCTCAATAAAATAAAGTATGTGAAAAGTGTTTGAAAATGATTAACCTGAAATGCTCTAAAATGTATTTACCTGTTATATATGTCTACTGGTTATTTGCCACTCAGCTTTATGTTGAGCGTGGAGTATTTAACTGCACGCAGATACTAGCAAAGGGAAAAAGTGTTGAGGAGTAAAAGCAAAGACGTGGAGGCCGTACCGAAGGAGTTCGACTTTAATATTTAATAATAAATAAATCATTGAACTTAATTTATGAACAATTTGAGCTTGAACCCTAAATTTTATTTAGTATCAAACATTTTTATTGTATGCATAAGCAAATAAGCAGAAACTCTTTAATTATCAAAAATGAGATTCAAATAAATAATGTTTTCTTAAGTAAACCCAGTTTGCAAACGCTCCGGTCTAGATGGCTCGGGTCACTCAGGGTGGGGTGTTATATTTTGGTATCGAAGATTTTGGTTTATAAAATGATCTTATGACTTGACTTTGAAAAAGAAATAGAGGAATTTTTTTGGAAAAGCAATAAGCGGATGAGAAATTGTTTTTTAAAAAGTCACATGTAAGGACACGTCTCTATGCTTCCTTTGGGCAGGTATCTCTATTTTGCTTTAAGTTAGGAAGTTCCATAATTTAAAACTTGAATACCAATGTATTAAATTGATGTTTGGAATAATTATGTACATGATTGTTGTTACGTTGCTTGAATAACAACTATATCATATATGAGTAAGATTTAGATCAAAGTATTGATAATGTAGTAGAGGGAGTATAGAAGTAGGAGGTCTATACATCGATCGTGGAATAAACTTGGAATCTTAGAAATTGTGCACAATTTTAGGTGAGTTTGGTAGCACCAAATAGTGATTGCTGGACAAAAGGGGGATGCCCCTAGCTAGTCTGGTGAGATATAAGTTCTTTTTCTAATGACTAAAAAATCGTGTCGTGGAATGACCATAGGATGTCATTAGATATAGTGTGGCAAATTATTTCCTTAAAAATAATGATACTTTTAAGAGAATACTTTAACTCAATGTACCTAATTAAAGATATGGAACATACAGGAAAGCATTTGGATGCACTAATGTTGTATATATTGCTGGTGGTTCTATAATTAAACCTTGTATCTTGATCATTATGTACCGTGTGTGCATTGTATTATTGTCTTGCAGCTGTGAAATTAAAAATTCTAAATTTGTAGTTTGAAACGAGTTGTGTATATATAACATGAAAATAAGTAAATACAATTATATTTTTACTTATAACTAATCATGAGTAAGCCTTAGATGGGTTCGTCATAGTTGACAAAAAAATATAAAATAGAATTTTATGATTAGGACGAATCATTAGGTAGCGGTGTTTAACATTATTTATTGATTTATAACAAAACGTAATAGAAAAGTGATGATCTAGTTGACCATAAGAATATCATATTACACTTGGTTCTATCCTAGAATCAAATATTGTTATTGTTTTGTACATCACATACACTCTTTAGTGAAGATAGTAAATTCTAAATTCGTAGGTTAAAACTGTTTTTACAATTGTACATACAACACATGAATGGTCCAAATAAGCATAGTTATTTTACTTCTTGTAATGGAGCGCATGTAAGACTAGATTGTTTAGTGCAAAAAAGGCAAAGAATTGTTAAGTATAAATAGCAACTGAGAGGTTGTACAATTTCATAGCAGATTGTTTGCTTAAAAAACAAAAAAAATGTTTCTTTACCATGGAACAATTGTAAATAAAATTAAGAATATTAAAACATAATATTTCCATAAGATGCTATTAAAACAAATGACTTTTATGCTGAAGCGAAATTATTTAGGACGTAATGCAGATTCTAACTTTAAGTCTATGTCAAGCTTTAACATTAACAAAGAAAGAGAGAAAGGTCAATTGGTCGGAATTGTTGGAATCATATGCTACATGCAGGTTGTAAGTAATTTATGATTTGGTAGCAATTATATATCGTCACGAGACGAAATTACATTTTTTATATTAAAAAAGGCTAGAAAAAGACTTAAAGTAACGTTGGAAGAAGTTAGATCAATATTTGATATGAATATGTCCATTTAGGGTTCAAGAGAATTATTTGACAAACTAATGTAATGCTACTAAAATGGTAGGGGGAAAAGAAGAAAAGAAACACAATCTATAAAAAAAGAGGGAATTAATTACATTCCACGCGAGTATAGTGCGTAATAAAATTTATTTTGGACAAAAACTGAGAGGTTATACAATCTCATAGCAGATTGTTTGCTTAGCATGAAATTGTCAAGGTATTTTCACGAACTTTTGTTAAAGAAAAAAAAGAAATCAAATCACTCAATTTGGTTAGATTTATTTAGAGTCAGGATCAAACTTGAACCGAAATTGTTATATTCATTTCGATTTCACATCTACATTGAAGAGATTCTTGAGTTGAGTAGCTATTATTGTTATGTTCTTAAGTATATTTTTTAAAAAAATTGATATTGTGAATTTAGTCAATTTACACAGTTGCTGACTTGATTGTGAATTTTGTTAAAGAAAGAAAGGGAATATTTGAATAATATATTCCCATATATTTTCGTATTTATTGTTTTTAATTGGTTGTTTCCTTGTATAAAGATTTGTTTCCTTTGTTGATTAGGATTCTCAACCTGTGAGAACCTATATATATGACTTCTTTGTAAATTGTAAACATAAGAAATACAAGATAATTTTCTCCCAATTAATTCTTTCATGGTATCAGAGCCACAAACCTAGAAATTTCCGCGACCACTGTTCACGATCGCCCGGCATCGCGTTCATCTATCGTTGCTCAGTTTCTTCGCTATTGATGTCGAAGAACGGAACGGTCGATCGTTGTTGTAGAATGGTCGAACACATCGAGCATCCCGTCGACAGTATGTCCTGGTGTTGTTGCTTCGTTTTTCCCTTCGATGAATACTCACCTGATATGACTGAGGAATCAGCCATGGAGATTATTTCCAACAAGAAAAATGAGGAAGAAGAGAAAAAGGGATTTTCACTGTTGCCCAATTTCGAGGATCTGACTCTAAAGCAGTGGAACGCTGTTCGAAACGCCCTTGCACTGTCCCCTATAGACACCAATCAGAAACTTACAGGTATTTCTATGTCACCACGTTGGATTATTGATACGGGTGCATCAAATCATATGACAGGTGATCTTTCGTTATTGTATCATGTGGTGGGTGTGACTCCATGCGAAATTGAGTTACCTGATGGAAAACGAGTAGTGTCTGTTCAATCTGGAAAGGTTGATTTGACAAGGACTATGACATTGCAAAATGTGTTGTTTGTTCCAACTTTGAATTGGCATTTGATCTTTGTCTCACAGCTGACGAGGGATTTTAACTGTGAGGCAAAGTTCACCAATGATGTGTGCATATTACACGACATAAGTTTGAGGACAACGATTGGTGTGGGTAGACATGAAGGAGGATTGTACTATTTGAAGAAGGGGGAAAGAAGCATGGCATGCAGTGCTAAGAAGGAGAATTCCTTTGATCTTTGGCACAAGCGTCTAGGACATCCTTCTTCGCATGTTTTGTCCTTAGTTCCTGTAGTTGGTTCAAATAAAAGTAGTCATAGTCATTGTGATGCCTGTTTACGTGCTAAACAAACTGGTGCTAGTTTTCCCATCAGTTTTCATCAATCTTTGGATAAATTTGATATGGTGCATTGTGATCTATGGGGTCCTTATCGGACGCCGAGTTTGGATGGTTTTACAATGTTTTTTACTATTGTGGATGATTTTTCTCGCGGTGTGTGGGTATATTTGCTTGATTCTAAGCAAACCGTAGGAAGTGTTATTAAGCAATTTTGTGCCACGGTTGAATGTCAGTTTGGGGAGAAAATAAAGTGTGTTTGCAGTGAAAATGGCACAGAATTCGAATGCTTGATGGAATATTTTCTGGAAAATGGAATTATTCATGAGACATCTTGTGTGTCTACAGCGTTACATAGTGGAAGAGTAGAACGCAAACATCGTCATATTCTGAATGTGGGTTGAGCTCTAAGATTTCAGGCAGGGCTTCCGGCTGAGTTTTGGGGAGATTGTATACAATTTGCAGCATATTTGATCAACCACACACTCTCTTCATTGCTAGGGGGGTTACACCATATGAGAAGCTTTATGGAATGGTCCCTACGCTGACTCACATCCATGTTTTTGGTTGCGGATGTTATGTTCACAATTTGAAAAGGGATGGAGATAAATTTGCACCTAGAAGTATTCCTAGAATATTTTTGGGATACCCACAAGGAAAGAAGGGATGGCGTGTGTATTTCTTGGACACTGGGAAGATCAGTGTGTCACGGGATGTTGTATTCTGTGAAAACATTTTTCCTTACTTAATTTCCGCAGGTGAAACCTCAGATGAGGATGAATCGAGTAGTTCCCCCTCGATCGATTACTTTGAAGACGATGAAGAGACACTCGCGGAAGAGCAGCTGGACCGTTTCGTAAGGAACGGACGACCGAAGAAAAGCAGAGAAGCAGACAGGCTACAGACGGTCGACCTGGTGGACCGTCCTGATATCCACGATCGACCGTCCGAGAGGCAGAATGACGGTCTTGTGGGAGATGATCAAACGGTCGACCGTGATGTGGAAGACGGTCGACTGTCTCCGAGGCAGAAAGTCAGTGATCCGGAACAGCTTCAGACGGTCGACCCCGTGGACCGTTCCACGGACGGCGATCGACCGTCCTCTTTCCAGCAGGCGGTGGAGAACTTAGGACGTGATCGGCGTGAGAAACGTCCAAATGTGCGCCTTGCCGATTATGTTACCCATGTAGCTGGTTCATAGGTTGGTGAAAAATGCAAATATCCTCTCTCCTCGTATGTCACTCACAAGAAGTTCTCTGACAGACACAAGTGTTTTCTCAGTGCACTTAATGCTGAAGTGGAGCCCACAAGTTTCAAGAAGACATTCCAGGATGAACGATGGAGGAAGGCTATGTGAGAGGAGATTGATGCACTGGAGGCTAATGGAACGTGGTCTCTTGTCTCTCCTCCGCGTCATAAAAATCCTCTTCGTTGCAAATGAGTGTATAAAATCAAGCGCAAGTCTGATGGAAGTGTAGAGAGATATAAGGCCAGACTGGTTATACTTGGTAATCTTCAGGTTGAAGGACTTGACTACAAGGAAACATTTGCTCCTGTGGTCAAGTTAACTACAGTACGGACTCTTCTAGCTGTTGCAGCTGCGAAGGGTTGGGAGTTGCATCAGATGGACGTGCACAATGCGTTTCTACATGGAGATCTTGAGGATGAGGTATACATGAGACTGCCACCAGGTTTCTCAAATTCTTCTAATGTGGTTTGCAAACTGAAGAAATCTTTGTATGGTCTAAAACAAGCTCCAAGGTGTTGGTTTGCCAAGTTGTCTGGAGCTTTGAAACGTTATGGGTTTGTCCAGTCTGTTCCTGATTACTCCTTATTTTCTTTTGTTGGAAAGAAAGGAGTAATACATGTTTTGGTTTATGTTAATGATTTCATTATTGCTGGAGATAATACAGAGATGGTGAGCAAGTTCAAAGAATATCTGGGAGATTGTTTTCATATGAAGGACTTGCGAACACTGAAATACTTTCTTGGCATTGAGGTGGCGAGGAGCACGTCTGGGATTTTTCTCTGCTAACGGAAGTACGCTTTAAATATTATTACCGAGGCAGGATTGTTAGGTGACAGGCCGTTGGGTACACCCATAGAGCCAAATCATCATTTGGCTCGTTCCCAAGCTCCTGTTCTGACGGATCTAGAACCATATCACCGTCGGGTAGGGCGATTAGTTGATCTATCTGTTACACGACCAGATCTTTCTTATGCAGTCCATACGTTAGCATAATTTTTAAAGGAACCCAGGGAGGATCAATGGTCTGCAGCTCTTGGGGTTGTTCGTTATTTGAAGGGGTGTCCAGGTCAGGGCATTTTTCTATCGGCAGAAAGTAGCCTTCAGCTCACAGGATGGTGTGATTCAGATTGGGCAGCATGTCCATTAACGCGACGCTCTATGACAGGATGGTTTGTGCATCTTGGAGATTCGACTGTCTCGTGGAAAACCAAGAAGCAGACAACAGTTGCTCGCTCGTCTGCTGAGGTCGAATATAGAGCTCTAGCTATCATTACATGTGAGCTAAAATGATTGAAGAATTTGTTGCGGTGTCTAGGGGTTGAGCATAAGAACCATATGACCATTCATTGCGACAGTACGGCCACACTTCACATCACTTCTAATCTAAACTTCCACGAGCATACAAAGCATATTGAGATTGATTGTCACTTCGTTCGAGATGAGCTTCTACGTGGAGAGATTTGTACACTTCATGTGCCTACTACACATCAGCTTGCAGATATTCATACGAAGGCACATGGGAAGTCACGGCTGGAGTTTCTTATTCCCAAGTTGGGCATTTCTCTGTTGCATGCTCCAACTTGAGGGGGGGTGTTAAAGAAAGAAAGGGAATATTTGAATAATATATTCCCATATATTTCTGTATATATTGTTTTTGATAGTTTCTTTGTATAGAGATTTGTTTCCTTTGTTGATTAGGATTCTCAGCCTGTGAGAACCTATATATATGACTTCTTTGTAAATTGTAAACACAAAAAATACAAGAGAATTTTATCCCAATTAATTCTTTCAAATTTAGTCCATTTAGTGAATTTAGTCAATTTTGGCATGGGTTTACTATAGAGATGAACTTTGGTATTAATGATAATTATTATACATAACAAAAAAACATTTTTCTTAATCGGCCAGTAGTTATTGTTGAGGTCAAAATGAACAAACTTGAATCGTAATCTATACACCTCCAAATTAAATACTCCCTCCATTTGGAAATGATGTTTCCATTGTACCTTTTTTCGTCCGAAAATGATATTCCCATTCTACTTTCAAATCTCAAATCTCCCAAAATACCCCTCTAATTTAATATCATGATATTCACTTTTCGTATCTACCCAACCCCCCAACTGAAAGCATAACTCTCGCCTCTTTAGACCTAATCTCATCTATTTGCCGCACCTTTTTATCTTTTCCCAACCCTAGATTACACTCTTCCTCTCCAAGATCTATAGATCCCCGCCCCATTTCATGGAATCGCATGACTTTCTTTACGATTCCTATATTCCTAAGACGGAGTTTCAAGACAGTTGAGGTGAGGATTGCAAGTGATTGGCGAAACATTCATATCTGATGCCAAGGAGGAGGACAAATTCATTGTCATCCAAAACGACAATGATGATGCTGATGTTGCCCCGGTCAGAGAGAGAAAAGTGGCAGTCGACCTTGAAGCTAAGGAAGATTGTGTCATTCTTATTGGGAGTTATGAGGATGGCAGTTATCATCCTATTCTTAAAAGCAGGGGAATTATGCCCCATGCTTTTTCCCGCCCAATGACTATCATCTATGGACCATCGATTTTAATCTATTACATTTAATCTACGGTTATTATTAATCCATGTGTATTACTCGAGATAAAAAGGGAAATACCGTGTGTATTTAATGCGTTTTTATTTAATTATCAAAATTAATACCGTGTGTATTTACAGCATTATTACCGTGTGTATTCCCGATTATTACCAAAATTAATACCGTGTGTATTTTAATCTATTAGGGAAATACTGTGTGCATTGTGTATTTGTTACTATTGGTATTAATTAACAAAATTAATACCGCATGTATTTAATGCCCAGAATTAATATCGTGCATTCATTACTCGAAAAAGGAAAGCATTGTGCATATACATATTTAGGTTTTAAAGTGTTATAAAAAAAAGAAATTTACTTTATACGGTTCCCACCCAAACTCACACCTTTGTAAGCCGTTGATCTTTGAGGATTTGATCATCTACGGTTGATATAAAATATTTCATTAATGTAGACCTACAGCAATCTAAAAATGTAAGAATTTAATGCTATATTATTACTTTGTTACACTAGAATTTAATACTAGTGTGGTGCTTTGACGGAGTTCAAGAGACCGAGACTTAGTGGATTCAGAAATCCTTAAGGGGAACCTTAAGGTACTGGAGTAGGGAGTTCTCGAACCAGTCTAAATTGGTGTGTCATTTATTTTACGCTTTTAATTCTACATTTTATTTATTGCTTCCGCGTTTGACAACACCAATTTTACTAAACTCCTAAAAGTTTTTAAGCACCTTATTCACCCCATCTAAGGCGTGGGCACATCGACTAACATAAGGAAGGAGCCCGAAAAAGAAGAGTAGAAAATAATGATGTAAAATTAAAAACATTAAATTTATAAATTGCAACTTATTCCAGGTGACCTCATGATTATTTTTTTTTACTTTCCTTATTTTCTTCTTTTTTTCGTTGTGGTGTAGCATTGTGATTTGTGAATTAGTAACAAAATAAAGTAATTGGTTGATGGGAGATCTGTATGGAGGAGGTGACGAGTGATGCCCTCCTAAGTCTTGAATTGTGAGAATACTCATTTAGGTTATGTTCTTCTCAACTTCTTTCTTTATTACTCCCTCTTTCTCTAAAAGATTGATACAGTTTGACTTTTTAGTCAAACAGTAGTACCCTCTGACGACGAATTAAATATAGTATAAAATAATTAAATATTATAAAAATTTGATATTTCAAAACTATATTTTAAAATAAACCTAATTCTATTAAATTTACATTATAAAAAAATTTCAATAATTTACGGTCAAAGTGTGCCACAGTTTGACCAAAAAAGTCAAATTATGGCAATTTTTAGGGATGCAGGGAGTACTTATTCTTATTGGAATCAGATCAGATCAGATCAAATCAGAAATAGCTTTAAATATAACTACAATTAAATCAGACTAGATCAGACAAGATCATATCAGAACTTATTCCAATCAAATCAGAACCAATCAGATCATGTGAAGAGAACATGACCTTATTTTAAAATAGTGCTTATCTTGATATGTTGGTAGAACGATGGAGTGTGTCTTGAGTAGTGTGAGCATGGTACGGTAAGGTATTTAGCTCGTACTGATACCGTACCAAATATTTTGGTTCGGTATAGGATTTTACATCATACCGATCACGATCCCGAAATATCAGTTCGATATGGTTCGGTATCAATTTTGGTACAAATAGGGATGAATACATACATACTACTTTATACCTTAAAATGTAACGATATCCCTTTACTCTTGAAAATTGGAAGTACATTTAGATAAAAAACTAAAAAATAAATTTTTAAATGCAAGAAATGTGTATCAAAACTTAGTTTAAATTTCACAAACTAAAAAACAAACGATAACAAAATAGTATTTTGAATGTTTGTGACTATTTTTATATTCATATACAAATAACTAAAAGTCAAATAAAAGTATAACTTACACATAATAGAGCTTAAACCAAATTTTCAAAATAAAGCTATTATTTAATAAAGAAATATAAAAAGATCATTATGTTTATAATATATTAGTGTGTGTGTGTGTGTGTATATGGGATTGACTCCAGTGAGATGACACCTTACGGTGAGATGACATGCTTCGGTCAGATGACACAAAGCTCACCACTGGTCACTGCAAAGCTCACCAAAAACAACTACAAAGCTCACCAAACGGTAAGGCAAAGCTCACCATATTTTTTCAACACTTTGAATTTTTTTTGAAAAAATAAAATCAAAGGAAGGGGTGCTGACTGGACTTTGACTGTTGACCGCCAGCATTGACCGCCACCGTCGGACTTCGGCAGCCGCAGTCGGACTGCGGCCGCCGTCGCCGGGCTCCGGCAGCCACTGCTGGTCGTCACTACCGCCGGACTCCGGCCGCCGTCGTTGACCGGTGATTGACCGGTGTTGCTATTTTATTTTTAATTAATTTTTTAATTTTCAAAATTTAAAAAATGTGAGTTTTAGTGTTCAAAGTGGTGAGCTTTGCTTTATTTCCAGGTGAGCTTTGCATTGTCCATTAGTGAGCTTTGTGTCATCTGACCGAAGCATGTCATCTCACCGTAACGTGTCATCTCACTGGAGTCAATCCCTATATGTGTGTGTGTGTGTGTGTGTGTTCGGTTCAGGATTTTTGGTATGAGACGTCACCTCGTACCATTCTCAAATACCATACCGATCATTCGTTCAGTACGGTTAGGTTCTTTCTCGATATTTTTTCGGTTTTGTATTTTTTGGTTTTGTATTCTCGATTTTTTCAGAAAATTTCGAAATCTGTTCGGTACTTGTTCACCCCTAGTTTTGAGAATAAATCTAAACAGACATTCTTAATGTGTCTAGTCACACTAGGCCCAACAAATTAAAGAGTAGTAATTGCTTGTCTCAAAATAGGTTCTAGGTTTATTTACCTTTAACGTTTTAAAAACACTATTTATTGACTATGTCTAACTATTAAAATTAATCCACATCATTAAAAAAATCATCTCAAATATTAAAGTTAATTGAAAATATTGTTCACAAACAAGGGCTTTATCGCTAATATTCATGGGTTATCCCCTTATATAGAGTATATCTTTATTAATTGTTGTTAAATTAAGTTAATCAAATCATCTCTTATTTTGTGGAGTGATGCTTACATGATACCAACATCCACATATAACTTATTAAAAAGTAGACATTCTCATATTTTTCATGGGTTTACAAAGTTATATGTGGATATTTTTTCTATTTTGCAAAAGACCTACTTCTTTTATGCTACGAAATGAGTATGGAGGTCCATAAAATGAGTATGGAATTTAGGTTCACGGAAGAATTTGTCTATTTTGTGATATTTTTTTATGTAATTTTAAAATACTCCCTCTGTTTGCAAAAAAGGTTCCTACTTTGACTTGAAACCAAAATAAGGAATTGTTAAATTATAGTTGACTTCCAATTTTGCCCCTGATGTGATGGGTAAAAATAAGATGTGATGGGTAGATTATTAGAGAAAAAGTATGATCTGATAGGTAGGGTATGAAAAAGTAAGGGTAAAAGTAGTTTTTTAATAGAAATTGGAATTGTTTTGTTGGAAGTGAAAAAAATGAAAGAGAAAGTATTTTTGAGAACAGAGGGAGTATTAATTTTAATTTTAAATTTTACCTAAATTGTCGTCTGTGTTTGTCTGTGCGAAGCATGGGTGCACTAATGGTAGCACCCATGTGGTGGCACTCTAGCATTTTCTAATAAAATATTAGGTAAAATGATTTTAGTCCAACATGTGTTGTCGAAGTTCATTTGGACAGGGAGGGAACAATAAGATGGAAGATTGGGAAAATGGGATGAGTGGATGACCACTCACAAACTTGCTCTTATAGACGTTTCAAAATGTTAGGCCAGCTTGACATGACACCTTCTTTCCCTCCCTGCATTGGTTCAATGGTTGAAGTGGTGGATCCCCCACCCACCTTCTCATTCATCCCATGATCTATATGACTATATCAAATACTTCTTCTGTATTTTGTTAATGCCCAGCTAGAACTTTAACAGAGCATAACTCTTGTTCACCCTTGAGCCCTAGTTTTTGGTCATTACACCAAATGTGGTTCAAAGGTTTGTGAGGATAATTTTTTTGGGCTGTTTTTTGCTATTATTGATGATGAATCATTGATTCTGCCTTGCTATTCTTATCATGGGTGTTCATCAATTAGGCTTATTGATTTGATTATTAAAAACATCATGCTTTGTTGCATCTGTTTCTTGTGCTTCTTTAGTTCCATATATACAAGTTTCTCACCATCAGTTCATGGCTGTCAGCAGGATTAAGGGCACACCAATTGTTTGCTGAAATTACCCAGATGGATAGCTATACAGATTTAGTAACTTTAGTGTTCTTAGTTTTTATCATTTGCAGCCCCACAGAAGCTCTAAATCAGGAGGGGATCAGCCTTTTGGAATTCAAAAGATCTCTTATGGACCCTTACAACAATCTCCAGAGTTGGAATTCTTCTGATGTGAATCCTTGCAATTGGGCGCATATAGCGTGCAATGAATATCACAAGGTAACTAATGTAGATCTTCATGGCCTCTATCTCTCTGGAAGCTTATCTTCCTCCATCTGTCAGCTTCCTGCTTTGAAGGAACTGAACGTCTCTGCAAATTCCATTTCTGGTCATATTCCTGATTTTTTGCATTGCCATAATCTGGAGGTATTAGACTTGTGCACCAATCGTTTTCATGATCGCTTCCCTTCTCGATGGTCTTATTTGGCCTCCCTTAGGAAGCTTTACCTGTGTGAGAATGATGTATATGGAGAAGTCCACGCAGAGATCGGAAGCATAAGTTTTCTCGAGGAGCTCGTACTTTACAGTAATAATCTCACTGGAAGGATTCCAAACTCAATTGGTAAACTGAAAATGCTTAAAATTATTAGGGCGGGGAAAAATTATTTTTCGGGTCCAGTTCCTGCTGAACTGGGTGAATGTGAGAGTTTACAAGTCATTGGGTTGGCAGAGAACATGCTAGAGGGGCCATTTCCTGTAGCACTTCAAGGGCTTGAGAGTCTCACTCACTTGTTCCTTCGTACAAATTCTTTGTCTGGTGTGATTCCTCCCGAAATAGGAAACTTCAGTAACTTGGAAATACTTGCGCTGGATGATAATTTATTCACTGGACCCCTTCCCAAAGAGATAGGGAAGTTAACAAAGCTAAAGTCGTTCTTCATTTTCAGAAACCATTTGAACGGAACCATTCCATGGGAAATTGGGAATTGTTCTAGCGCTATTGAGATTGATTTTTCGGAAAATCTCTTGGGTGGGATTATTCCTAAATCCTTGGGCCGAGTTTCTAATCTCCGGCTGCTTCATCTTTTTGAAAATCAATTACATGGAAATATCCCAAGAGAACTTGAAGAACTGAAGAAGCTTGAGACGTTGGACTTATCTATAAACAACTTGACAGGTCTGATTCCTTTGGGGTTTCAGAATCTTGAATCCTTGAAGAATATACAACTTTTTGACAACCATCTTGATGGATCTATCCCACCATTACTTGGGGTGAAAGCTGCCCTGTCCGTTCTGGTCCTGTCAAGGAACAATCTAATAGGAAGCATCCCTCCCACACTTTGCTGGTTCCAGAAACTGAGAATTCTTAGCCTTGGTTCAAATAAGTTGTCTGGAAACATGCCTCACAGCCTAAAAACCTGCAAGTCTCTTGAGCAGCTGATGCTAGGAGGTAACCTGCTCACTGGCACTCTTTCTGTTGAATTGTGCAAACTTCAGAATCTTTCCGCTCTTGAGCTTTATCAAAACCGGTTCACTGGACTGTTGCCCTCGGATATTGGGAACTTTAGGAGGTTAGAAAGATTGCTCCTGTCGGACAACTATTTTCTTGGGCATATCCCTCCCGAAATAGGGAAACTTGTTAGGCTTGTTACTTTCAATGTCTCTTCAAACAGATTATCTGGGGCGATTCCTCGTGAGTTGGGTGATTGTATCAAGCTCCAGAGGCTTGATCTTAGCAAGAACTGGTTTACCGAGAACCTTCCCGATACACTGGGTTTGTTAGTAAATTTGGAATTGCTTAAGCTATCAGACAACCGATTCATTGGGAAGATTCCACATACATTGGGGAAATTGGCAAGGCTTACTGAACTGCAAATGGGTGGGAATTTTTTTTCTGGCGAAATCCCTATTGAGCTTGGCCAACTCACAGCTCTTCAGATTTCTCTCAATATTAGCCATAATGCTCTGACTGGATTGATTCCTAGAAATCTGGGAAACTTGCAGTTGCTTGAATCACTGTACTTGAATGACAATCAACTTACTGGTGAGATTCCTGGTTCAATTGGTGAATTGATGAGCCTCAGCGTTTGCAACCTTTCTAACAATAACCTGGTAGGGGTAGTGCCAGACACCCCCCTCTTTCGAAAAATGGACTCCAGCAATTTTGATGGAAATGCAGGTTTATGCAAATTGGACTCACCAAATTGCTTCCCCTCTCGAACGCCATTACCATCTTTGAATCCAAGTTGGATGAAAAAGGTTACGTACAGAGAGAAAATAATTATCATTTGCTCAGCAGCTGTTGGATTGGTGTCTTTGATCTTCATTGTCGGTATTTGTTGGATGATGAAGAACCACACAAGATCCATTGTCTTGGTAAACAATCAAGTGGATGCTGATTCGGCGAATGAACATCACACTCTCCAAAAAAGATACACTTTTCAGGACTTTGTCATAGCCACTCAGGGTTTTTCAGAAAGTGCTATCATAGGAAGAGGAGCCTGTGGTGTTGTCTACAAGGCTGTTATGACCAATGGAGAGGTGATTGCTGTTAAGAAGCTGAAGTCTGGAGGAGGAGGGAACATAGAGAACAGCTTCACTGCCGAACTATCAACACTTGGAAATATCAATCATAGAAATATTGTGAAACTCTATGGTTACTGCTACCGTCATGACTCTAGTCTTCTCTTGTATGAGTACATGGAAAATGGAAGTCTGGGGGAAATTCTTCATGGGAATAAAGAAAATTGTATACTGAGCTGGAATGACCGGTACAAGATTGCTCTCGGAGCAGCTGAGGGTCTGTGTTACCTCCACCATGATTGCAAGCCACAGATCATCCACCGTGACATAAAATCAAACAATATCTTATTGGATGAAATGCTCGAGGCACACGTGGGAGATTTTGGTTTGGCAAAGCTAATTGACATGCCATACTCAAAATCAATGTCATCTGTAGCTGGTTCATATGGCTACATTGCACCCGGTAAGGCCACTTTTAAATCCTTTTTTGTGTTTCAGCATACACGTAACCTCTTTCATATAAGTAATGCTATATATATTTATGCATGCTTTCAAATTTAATTGCAGAATATGCATACACACTGAAAGTTACCGAGAAATCTGATATATATAGCTTTGGAGTCGTTCTGCTGGAACTAGTTACTGGAGGATCTCCAGTTCAACACATTGATCAAGGAGGAGATCTAGTAACTTGGGTGAGAAGATCAGTTCGTGAAGGAGCGTCAATCTCTTGTGTATTTGACAAACGGCTTGATTGTCTTTTGGGGAGAACAACGGAGGAGATGTCTTTGGTTCTCAAGATTGCATTGTTCTGTACCAATATATCTCCCCTCAACAGGCCAACGATGAGGCAAGTAGTTGCGATGCTGATTGATGCCAGGGAAGCAATGAGCAATTCACTGCCCTCTCCAACATCAGAAACTCCATTAGATGATGATGATGATGATGATGATGATGATGACAACCAATCTCATAATAACAGTGGTGCAATTATTACTAATTAAGCACCACAGTTATGCCTCACATCGCCTCTGACTAGCAACTTTCTAAGAGATCCATTGGTTTTCACATGGGAGATAATGAATACAGAGCATGCTCTTTCCATCTAATAGTATCCAGGATTCCAAATTACAGATTACTTCAAGCTTTTAGATAGAGTTCATCTGGCATATAATTTGCATAGCTTGTACATATGATTTACACCTTGAGTTAATTTTGTAAGCATATAATTGAATGTTGGATTCTCCGTTTCCCACCAGCAATGAATTTTTTTACCCTTTTCTTTGCTTTAATTCACATTTCTATTTTTCACATTTCTATTTGCTTCAAAAAAAACACATTTCTGTTTTTCATGGCCCATTTTCAAGTATCTATGATATAGTAGAATCAATTATTCTTGCGAGATGAATGCTTCAAACAATTTTGTTCCTCTGCTATTAAATTCAACATCATTCCTTCCCATATGAAGCAGAAGGAAACTTCTTCCTTGGCTACTACAGAGATATGTGTAAGCTCATGATTTTCACGATTCAAGGTGTTGTTGTTAGACCATCCCCAATGGAAGGTGGATGGGATGGTAAAAGACAATGAAGTGGAACATCTATTTTAAGCCTCTTGAGAGATTGTATTTTTGATGATATATCATTACTAAATTGTTTTAGAATCCCTCAGTCCCATTCAGCATTGGGAATAGTCTTACAGTGATTATATGTGTGTTTATACATTCTGCATGTATACATAGAACTCTTAGGCCAAAGAACTTCACAAATTCTTATACCGAGTAACTCAACACACAAAAATGCAATGTATTAATTAGTCGTGTTAATAGAGTTGTCAGAGTATGTAAGATGTGAGATCTAAGGAAACAATTTCCAATTCAAAGATCGAGTCCCACATTTATCCACACTGAAAAATTCATAGTCAGGCAAAAGAAGGAAGTCTGTAGCAATAAAAAACAAGTACAATCACATATATACATCAATCAAAATATTAATCAAAACAGAATCAAGCATGAATCACCCTAGATACCCATTAGAGCCAGACTTGGAGAAAAGATTAAAAGGACATGAAAAGAGATCATAAAACTGTTCCTCTTGCATTTGTTCCAGCATTCCACCCTCTCTCCTTTTCCCTTTGACTTTGTTTCTGTTGTCCTTCTTTTGTTAGAACTCTTCTAGTAGTCCCAAGTAACACTCTATGGGCAACCCTCCTACTTCCTATAGAAACTCTAACTTTCTCAATTCCCACGTTCACTCCTCTTCTAGTTTGTAGCATTGGGGACTTCAATTGAAGTCTCTTGTTGATGCTTCGTCTTAGTGCGTCATTAAGTTTCTTACCTTCAAATTTTAGGTCTGTAGGACTATCCCCTGGCAATGGTTCAGGTAAGCATTTACCATCAACATTGTCAACATCCTCCTCAGTTGCTTGAATTGGTGTCAATGGAAAAAATGAAGGTGTCAACTTTGCTCGACTGGTAACACTCGGCAATGGGTTTAGAGAGTTCCGCCGTGGGGCACATGCAAATGGTAATTTATTTAGAGCTGGGCAAAATGATGCTCTACCAGTCCGTTTTGGCATTAACATGTGTTCCATCCCAGGATTGTTTTCTTTGTCTTCTTTTTCTGGTACATCATCTCGCCTAACAAAGGGGTCCAGATGACTGGGAGCCACATAGTGGTTGTATTTATTGTTCTCAGAAAGTGGACGATTGAGATTAGCTTGAGCTAGGGTAGTTTTGACTGAAAATGGAGGCCTTGCAGCATTTTGATCATCATGCTGTTGTCTCAATTGTTGCTGCTGTTCTGCAATTCTAGAATCTACGTGTTGCCTTGATAGTTTCCTCTCCACAAGAAGTTGCGATTCAAGTTCCTTAATCTGAAAGTGCACAAAAATATGCATGAACATAATGCGCTCCAATAACTAAGATTAATGACTCTTCATGAATACCAATAGTCCATAAAGTTCGGAAAAGATTAAACCTTGCATACCTTGTCTTGGAGGTTCTTAACTTTTACATCTCTCTCTTTCACTTTCATCTCCAGTCCATGAATTGTATCTTCCATCTTCTTAACATGGAAATCTTTTGTTTTCATATCTAGCTTATTCTTCTCAACCTGAAAGAAAACATATGATCATATTTTTTTCATAAAAAAGAAGTTGCAGACAGGTCATAAAATTGTCCTTTAGTTTTTGTAATCACAGGCAAAAAAGTTTATATCCCAATAAGTAACTGGTATATACCATCTGTTTATATTTCAAGATCTCCGTGTTGCCTAGCTGCTTTTTTGCTGGACCTAACTCAATCCCTCGCACTCGGCTGGCAAAATTCAATGAGCAGAGAGTCTCGCTAAGATCATTCTCGTTAGGACTAATTTGTACAAACATTAGTGTCTTTGAATCTCCTCCTGGAGAATCCAAAGTAAGTGAGTCAATTTAGAGCTTCTAATATGTACATACCATTAGTGTAAAACTTTTAAAAAAATATTACCTAATGAATCCTGGAGCAAATGAGTCAGTTTGGAGTTTCTAAACAATTCATAAAAGAGAAAGTTAAAAACCAATTACAATATATTTACATGATTAAAAAAGCCCAGAAAAAGAAAACAAGGCAAATTTATCTTGCTATAAAATCTAATACCAAAGTACCTAAAAGGGATGTGTGGGCTCTTATTGGCAAGTGCAGATATCACGTCCCCAAGAGCAGACAGTGATCTGTTTATGTTTTGTGTTTCTTTCAGCCTTTCGCCTTGAACCTCTGTCTTTGCAATTCTCTCACTTCCAGCAAGATCAATTAGCCACAACTTGCTCCTTGTGCATTCCCCATTCAACAAATTCTCCCCTTTTACCATCACGCAGTGAATGCTAAACACAGTGTAGATATTAACCTATTTAGTAAAACAATATAAACAACACACATAAGGGGAGGAGGGCATACTGGATTCATACCAATGTGATCTGCTACTGTGCTCATTGGCATTCGTAGACCCCACCGCCCTTCCATGGCTGCCAGTCTGCAAGACATCCCACACCTCATCCATATTGTTTACTTGGGCCTCCACTAGTCCAGGAACACGATGCGCTCCTTCACCAACTTGCTTAATTTCAAGCCTTTATACATGGAAACTATACATGATCAGTCGCAGGCTATGGTACCAAAAGTTGTGGCTTAACATTTTAAAAATTGCATAAAGGTAATTTATTTGCCTATATAAGAAAAAAAACGAGCCCAAAAGTTACTTTTTTGTTGAAATAATTTTTGGTAGAAAGGGAGTATTTATTTTTTTTGAGTTTGTTCTATGATAATGAAATATTAATTAATATATGATAACTCATTTCCATGAATTAATTATCCATGTGTCTCGTCCTCCTCTTAAGACAACTCTCATTTAAGTGCATTAGCGAATTGTATATTCCCCAACCATATTCTGAACTACATGTGGCTTGATCCCCTTCATTGGGGTACATAGGCAACTTGGAAAGTTTTTTATTTTTGTAAGTGCAGCTTGGTTTAAATCCAAGCTTAGAGGATTGTCTTCATGGAGGAGGTACTTTTGTTTGGCTGTACAATAGAATAAAATAATATATATTGTATGGTTTAAATTCAAGCTTGGTGGATTGCCTCCGTTTTAACGTGTGTATCAAGGGATAAATTTCTTCTATATATGACGATGAAATAAAAGTCAACTATTTCTTTTGGATCATAATGAAGAAATGAGAATGGCTAATTACAAAATATATGAGGAATGAGACTAAGTCCATCAACAATTATGTGTGAACGAAAGCACAACTAAACGTCTAGTATATCGCTAGATCTTGAGTTCAATGTGGACAAATGGTTTACATAGTAATTGCAACCCAAATGATAAATATCATCCCGAGATTTTGTGGAGTGTCTTAATAGATCTTTTGATAGTGTTGCAATTGCACAACATGATTAAGGGTTTCTTCTTCCAACTTCTTTCATTTTTTTTCAACTCCTAGTATCTTCAACGATGACTTAAAAATTAATTTACATATGATGGATTTACAATAACATCATATATCCCAATTTATAATTTACAACCTCAAACACGGACAAAGATTTATTCTTTTTAATCCAAAATTAGTTTTCTTACTTAATTATTTGGGTTATCAATTAATTGAGTGATTTTTTAACACTTAATTTTTCCAACATTTTCCAACTTCTTCTAGTATTTTCCAACTCCTTCCTATTTATTCCAACATCCAACTTTGGAATTCCAACTTAAAGAACAGGCCTTAAAACGATCGACCTATATGAACATGATGTGTAGCAGCTTCACCAAGTTAAGAGCTTGACTTGGTTATGTTCACAAATGGCTATGAACACATGGCTAGAGTAAAAAGTGTCAAGTTTATATTGTACTTTTGGTAAACTTCTATTGTTCTTTAGATTACATAGCGAAGTAAAAGTTCAATCAGGATGACACTTTCATTAATGCTCAACTTTTTGAAATTTGTCTCGTGGCAAGATTTGAGCATATTTTGAATTCTCAATAAATGAAAAAGGATTGTTGGAGATTTATTTTGAATTTAAATTTGAATTTTGAATAAGTAGACACAAGCCTTAGAAGATACTAGTATATGATTATTCTTAAATGACACAATTCTTGGAGATTTATTTAGAATTCAAATTAAGATAGTTTTAAAATGAAAGGATATGACTAACAAAAGAGACATGACCATTCATGAAAAGACACAATCTTTTCCTATAAATAATATGGAGTGTGTACATGATTAACTTATTATTAATTATTATTTTATTGGTTATCTAGAATGAAGAAGAAACAATTTATTATTTATTTCTTCAAAGGTTTTTTTTTGGATTATGAAATTTTTATTAATACTAGTAATAAAATGTACATGAATATTAATTCTTATTTCACTGGTTATCTAGAATGTTAAAGAAGTAATTTATTATTTATTTCTCCTGAGTTTGTTCTATGGTAATGAAATAGTAATTAATGGTAACTCATTTCCATGAACTTTTTCCATGCGTCTCGTCCTCTTCTTGAGACAAATCTCATTTAAGTGCATTAGCAAATTGTATAGTAGAACAACCAAACCACTTGGTTTCCTTCGTGGTATCTCAAAAGTTCTATACTTCTATCTTGTAATCCTTTTTGCTTATATAATAGGATAGATAAGAAACTTTTCGAAAAGCGGTCTCATTGATCACGCGCCTTGAAGATTTATCTGGTTCTATTCACTAACCGAGTTTTGAACTACGAGTGGCTTGATCACATTCATTGGGGTACGCAAGCAGCTTAGAAGGTTTCTATTTTTCTAAGTGCAGTCAAAACAATAAAAAAAATTATTGTTCTAACAATCTTTATGATCATGAAAAAAAAATATGATAAGATTCAATGAATATAAACAAAGCCTAAACATGAATTATTGTTTCCTTTCAATTTTCCTTTGAGATAATTGAATAAAAAATTAAATTAACAAAGCTACAATTGATAATCAGATGTTGAATGCTTAGTTTATCACATCCAGTGATAGGCATTTATTGTGATCGTAGTCAATTTAGTGGTAGTGAAACTGATAAAAGTATAGAAGAGAGTTCTTCAAGTTACCTTTTTGTAGTATTCATTCCTGACTGTGTTTCGGAAACCAACAAGTCTCGTATTTGCTCATTATACACTTCCAACACACTGACGGATATTTCATAGTTGAATGTATTTTTGCGCTCATTGATAATGCGAAATAGTTCCTACAGAGTTCGGTAGTTGACACCACGGGCTTCATTGGTGCCTTCCATTGTGAAAGTCTTCCCAGTACCAGTCTGACCATAGGCAAATATGCAAACATTGTATCCATCCAAGACGGATGCTGCAAGCGGTGCCGTGTCTTCAAAGACTTCAACTGTTTCCCCACACACACACAGAACAAAAAAGTGGCTGTGAAAAACTCTGTGAACATAAATTGGCAGGAACAACAACAAAAAAAGTAATAATAATATTGAGATAATATAAAAAGAAGAATAACCTTCAATTACCTTGTCCTGCTTGGGGTCTGAAAACAGCATCAAATTTAAAGGTCTTCTTATTAGATAGCCCATTTGATTTTACTGTTAATTCTCCGTCCTTGGCAGCTTCAAAATCTATTGCCATTGAAGCTCCCATAGCAATCTCTTCAACACTCAAAGGTCTGCAGCGACAGAATACCCTAATATTTCCTGAAAATGGTCATAGACAAGTTAATTATCGATTACATTTTACCTTTTATTTGAAAGATTAGAACATGATACACATACCTTTCAACTCCAAAACCCTGTTATAAAGCTCCTTTCGTTCTTTGGCCCCTTTAATAAATTTGATCTTAAGATCTTCATGCAATTCAACATGTTGTTTCACTGTTACAAGTTGTGTGTTGGGTGGGGATCAATAGAATTCAGAATTATATTTATTATGAACCAGACAAACTAAAATTTGATAGGCAGTATACTTTTACATTGGATGAGAAAGCTCATATTAGCCACATCTTCTATGTAATGCTTAAATGAAAAAGCATCTTCTGATAGCTTGATTTGGTCCATCTTCATAATCTGTGTAAATAAATCCATAGCGCTAATCAATATACATTTGAGGACCCAACATAACGATGAGAACGAAAGCTTAATACCTTCACTTTTCTAGTCAAGTCTCTCAATGTGGAAAACCATTTGGTTTTTTCTTTTACCTGCCCCTCAATTGCAAAAGCTAATAAAAAATTTCATTAGAACTATGTCCTTCGAAACTTTTACAGTTTACTAGTAATAATTAATGTGGGAGTAATAATAATAATAATAGTACTCATGTACCTAGGGACCCAACATGCATTGACTTGCGCATTAGCTCATTCTGAAGATCTTTCAATGCCTTCTGTGCTTCTTGGCATTCTCTACTTTTTTGTTCATTAAGCCTTTTAAGTTCCTCCAGGTGCCTCTTGGTTTCCTCAAGTTCATTCTCTTGGAATTCATTCTCCAGCTCCCGCCTTTGATCATCTCCATCTTCTTCGACCTGATCAGTGGCCTAAATACATTACTCTATCAATCAAATCAAGACAGCTTGTTTGAATACACTGAATATGTTTCAAAATATAACCTTCTCAGGCTTGCTTTGTGTCAATTGTGGGCATGCCGATTCTTTGTGCAGTCCAACATTCATACTCACTGTCGTGCTCAAGTGGACAGGCGAAAACTCTTCCATAACTGGTGGGGGAGGAAGCTCAAATTCACCTTTAGATCCAGAAAACGAAGTTGAGAACTTTACAGAGACAGCTGTATCAATAGAATCCTTAGGTTCAGACCCATCGATCCCATTATCTAAAGACACTTCAAATGAGCCATGAGGATCGAGAGTTTCAAGTGATTCTACATAGCATTGTTTGAGAATTTCCGGCGAATCAGAACAGATCACCAAATCAGGAGACGTTAGTGAAAACCCCAAGATCTCACAACCTGAATAGTCCAATATTACAGTAATCCTAATTTGTTAAAAAAAATTTGAAGACCCAAAAAAGAAAAGTTGAAAAGAAGATCATGACTTCATTGAAAATCTTACCTCCCATTGTATGTTCTACAATTGGATCGTGATGAATATGGTCTGTGATCCATCTTTCTGTATCAACCAAAAACAAAACCCTTCAATCTCATAAGAACTGATAAAAAATAATAAACCCTCTTTAGATTGCAAAATAGGAGAAACACTGAAAAAGAACTATAACTACCTTGCAATTTTGAGGTGCTTAAATAAGGAGTCGTGGAATAATGATCTATGAAAATCAAATAATCACGGATTGACAGTTATCAATATCAGCACTGAATTTTGAAAATTCCAATGTGTTGATGAGTTAAAAACAAAAAAAAGGTTTTCAAATGACTACCTTTCATTATATTTTCCACAATCGGGTCAGTATAAATTCTCTCCGGGCCTATCTCTACATCAACCAAACAATATATTTATTCAGCATTGAAGAACAAGACCCAAAATATGAAGAAAAAAATATAGAAAATTGAAATACATTCACCTTGGACTGGAGAAGATGCTAAATCAGAAACTGGGTGATCGGGACCTGCAAACGTTCGGAACAAAGAGGCCAAATAGAATCAAATTGAAGAGCCAAATAAACAATAGAAGTCGGAACAATAAAATTTGAAGGTGTGATCAGAGCGAGAAGCTTACAAGCATTGCAGGAGCTGAAATGATGCAATTGCTGACAAGAAACGTCAGTGAGCAGAAGGGGATCTTGCCAGGAATGGCGATAGAGATCTTCCATGGATGGAAAAGGTGATAGATATGGTTTTTGAATTGCAATGAGTACTGGTAAAGATGTCGATAAAGAAAAGGGGAGTTTTGTTGAGAATGTTTTCCTCTGGAGCGAGCAGAGAAGCAATTCGCCGTTACGATGGGAAAAATGTACAAACGGTTGTTTTGAAATTTGAAATTCCCCAAATATAGAAAGACTTACGGGAGTATTAACTATGGAAAGCAGAGCAAAATAGAATTTTAATGTTTTTTTCTCGAAATAAAATTTTACATTGTAATAATGTGATTGTATCGTGACATTGTACATGTGCATATTAATATACTTTTTGGTAATGTACATGATTGATGATGTAAATAAACCACCAGGTAAATAGTTCTAGATCGGGTCTAGGATTTTTTACTCGATTCGAGAATGTAGAGAGTAATAAATATGAAGTTTAACTGGGAGGACTGTAGGTGGAAACACTTATAGCCCAATTGTTATTAGAATATAGTGAAATGTACGGAAGCTTTTACACAAGGATTCTAAAGAGAAGAATTTGAATCCCTTCTTTCGAGGGTTACACATGTATTTATAGGAAAGGGAGGGGGCAGAGCGTCGCGCGTCCACGTCGTCTCACGTTCTCTGATGGTGGGAGGTGGCTTCCCTCTTTTGTCTCGTAGAATCTTGTCCCATTCTCTTGTCATTTTACGTTGGTGACTCTTCTTTTCGCGCGTAGTGTCCAGCGGAGATTGAGAGAATATTTCCCCAATACTCTCGTTAAAAATCGGTCACTATCGTCCAAACGTTCGTGGCACTATTCGTGCCGACACTTTTACACCGTAGAACACTACCGGGTAGGTTTATCTCTTATGCTTTCGAGGATCAGAAATCTGCTAGTTCGAAGTCGTATGCCCTGATCGGTCTGTTAGTGAACAGCACCGGTCAACTTTTCTGAAGCTAACCGGTGTCCTATTTTAGTTTAGATCTTCCACGTTGTCATGTCTGCAACTTGACTGGTTACTTTTTGTGGGCCGGTTCCGGACCGGGTTCTGGGTTAAATGCACCCATCAATAAGCCCTCCACTTCCCGCCGGCCGTGTAATTTTATCAAGGGCGGGAAGTAAAAAATCTGGATTCCGGCACTTGAAATTTGATTTCTTGGCTTTTCCCGCCTAAAATTTTGGGTTTTACACTCTTCCTCCCTAAAATTTTTGAAATTCAAAATTCGAAAATCGAATTTCTCCACGTATTGCGCCTTTTCGGTACACCATCATTGCATTCTCCTGGTGTTTCGTCTCCCGAGTGCCACGTGTTCGCCGGCTGGAGCGTTGTTTCTCCTACCTGCCACGTGTCACCTTATCCTCCTATACTTCACCTATATAAAGGCTTCTCCTTCCTCCTCGTTTTCACTTTTCGCAAACTTGCTCTTGCCTTTTTACCAGGTCAAGTGCTTTCTCTGTCCTCCGAGTCTTTGAATCATCAAGTAAGTTCCCGGTCCTTCTTTATTTTCCAATCCCGGTCATGTCTTCAGAGGATAGCTAAAACCACTCCTTCATCTCCTATGCGTCTGCGTCCGAGAGGTCTTTCTCGTCCACTTCTTCTTCATACTCCTCATCCCCTACCCAGGAGGAACCGGTTCCTGAGGGGGTAACTGAGGGTGTTCTTGAGGGTGCTACGGTTCCCAATCCAGCACCTATAAACCAGGAGCCGAGTCCTTTTGACCCAAATAGGGAGACCCAAGAGGAATGGGAAAATCATCTTTGAGAGGCCTGTTATTTTCCGCTCTCTACCGATAACATGAGGGAATACCCAACTTTTGTGTCCAAGGGCGCAAGGGGGCATAATTTTTACTCTTCATCCCCTCCTAGTCGGGGTTTGCCACGCCTTTTCTATCTTTCCCGGGCAGATCACCCCGAATGCCTATCTCATCTTGAATTGTTTTGCAAATATTTGTGAATCTCTTCATATTCTTTCTCAATCTCTATAGAAATTTCATAATTTTTATTTTACATTTTTATAAAAATTATTTTTTATTCTATTCATTTAAACAATATATACATATAAAGAAACTAGTGGTGACATGATTATTTTGTTTGACTATATTATTTTATCAAATAAAATATATTTAGATAAGTCAAATATTAGTATGATCAACATAAAAAATTTAGAACAGATAAACATTTCTTTTATTAATATATAAAAATGAGACTCGGCTATCTAAAAAACTAACAAGTGACATACTTATGTGACCTTGTTTTAACACCTAATATGTACAAATTGTGTATTTTTTCTCTTCATTTATTAGAATATTTAAAAACTAAAAAATAAAATACTCACTTCACCTATAAATAAAATTTATATTTGTTCATTGTACGTTTACATGAAATTAGTTTGATTATATTTATTTAAATACTCACACATATTAAATAAAATACTTTCTTCACCTATAAATAAATTTTATATTTATTTTGACACCTAATATTCCTTTTAATTTAATATATAAAATCTAAAGTCAATGTTTTGGTATGAAATTTTTGGATAAATTAATTAAGGAAGAAAAATATTTGTTTTTATGATAATATTTTTTTCATTTAACACAGTATTTTTAACTCTCTTCATTTATTAAAAACTTTTTATTCATAAATAATATTATTTTTCACATCTAAATAAGTTTCATACGAGTATTTATTTATGAGAAGTCAAAACAAATTAATTTTGATTCTATTTCTTTTAATATTCATGAAAAATGAAAACAAACAATATATTTTATTAAGTACAATAAAAAATTCAAAAAAAAGCACTCCATATGCGACTTTAATTTACTAAAACATAAAAAAAACTTTTAAATAATAAATAAAATAATCTCTTCACCCATAAATAAGTTTTATACTTGTATTTGTTTACGACACATTTAAATGAAATTAGTATGATTATATTTATTTAAATATTTACACCTAATAAATAAAATTATTTCTTCACCTATAAAGAAGTTTCATATTTTTTTGACACCTATTCCACCTAATTTTAGACATAGAAAATGTAAATTTAACATTTTGGTATGAAATCTTTAAATAAGTTTAATTATGAAAGAGAAATATTCATTTTTATGATATTATTCTTTACTGGCTAATTTAATATTTTTTTACTATCTTAATTTATAGTAAAACTTTCAATTAATAAATAAGATGCATTTTTACCTCTAAATCAATATCATACAAGTATTTATTTATGATATGTGAATGTGATAATAAGTTAGTTTTGATTCTATTTATTGCAATAATATTAATGTAAAATTTAAAACAAACAACATATTTTAAAAATTACATTACAATTGTTAAAATATATTATTTTTAATTATCTATTATGATATGATACTTTTAATTAAATTATAGAATACAATTGATTAAAAAATTATATCACCATGACATGTTGTTGGCCATGGTCATACACATACTATGTGTACACTAACATTTTTTAATGATTCAACATTTTTAAGTAAATATAATTAAAGAATAGATATCATCACTTTTATTAGGATATAGAAGTATTATTTTATTGAAAATTAGAAGAAACTTGAAGAAATTAGAATATACTAGAAGGAACTTCAAAAACACCATCATCATCATCATAGGTAAAAAATGTGAATAATGTTACCATGCAAATTGTGTACATGCCATTTAATTAGGGACATAATGACTAATCTAATTATTGTTATTTATTTTAAAATATTCTTGAATTTCCCATTCAATCTAGATGATGAAATATCCCCAATTCTTAGAACATAATTAAGTACAATGTATATTAATAAAAAAATTCCCAATAAAATTGTAGTCCGTATTTTTTATAATAAAAATGGAAGAAAAAATAGTACTACGTACTTCGTAATTAGTGGAAATCACAAAAATAGCGTTAAGGGAAAAATTAAAATTTTAAAAATAAACTTTGACAATAATAATAATAATAATAACAATAATAAATGAAAAACATATCATTTTTAGGAGTTATTAGTTGGCGAGTTGAAAAAGATTGAAGAAAATATGAATAGTTAGAAAATATGGAAAAACAGAAAGGAACTGGAAAAACTAGAAGAACACGCTCTTAGACTGGAATAAAAGGAATCGTAGTGGTCCTAGAGACCAGTCTCGTCTTGAATTAAAAGTTTGATTTGGTCCTTAGTTTTTGGTGAGAGACTATGTAATACCCTAATCCGTCCAGGTCTGCAGCCCCTTTCAGACTAAAGTATTGACTTTGGAAATCATAAATTTAAAACGTTTCAAATGCTTTTATTCATCATAAATATTATTTAGTACATAATTGTAGCAAAATGCAGAGTGTTTAACAATAATGCGGAAGCAATTTAAACCATGTTTAATAACAACATAATTATTTATTTAAAATCACAAATTTCACCACGACAATCTCGCCTCTTGTGCTGCCAGGAACAAGCCAATCATTCATTCAGTCTACCTGCGTGTAGCAAATAAAACATACTACACGCTCAGCGATGAAGCTGAGTAAGCATATCTAAAGCGTCGAACATCCATATAAATTGAATCTCAAATCACAAACAACCATTTGATATCATGCACACAATATATAATTCATTCATGATATTTTCAATTTTTTTAATATTCAACATTCAATACTCAACAATATCCTTAACTAAGCTTAGTCTAAGGTCAAACCTTTGATGATTACCAACTCTTAAACTAATTCTAGTTCAAGGTACTTCTAACCAACTCTTAAGCTAGGTCATTAGTTTAAGGTACATATTCCAATTTATTTACCAACTCTTAAACTA